GATCCTCGCCATGACCTGTGAGACAGCTGCTATTATGATACCCACTTCACAAACCAAGTAACCTGGGAACTGGGATCTGAACGAACCCAGACAGGTCCAGAATATGAGCTCTTAATCACTTACACTACCCTGCTTCCTGAGGTGAGATAAGAACTGTTCTTTTTAATCCATCAAGAATAATGATGATTAGGTGGTTTAGGCAGCTAAGGGAACCAAATATTTAGAAAAGCTCATTTACTCTGTCGTACATTTCCCTCTTTTGATCTCTAAACCAGTTGGTGACTCATTAGCATGGATTCAAGCCTAACATGTCTCTTACATAATGCATTCTAAATCTGCCCAGATGATATTAATGAGGACATAAAATATCAGCTTCAAAAAGTATGTTTCAAAAAGTTGTTCCATGTTAGGGGCCAGCAGATGATGGAATGGTTACATCACTGAACCCCCACATGGCTGACTGTAGTTCAAATCCCAGACCCAGTGGCTTAAAACTCATGCCAGGTATACCATGTGCGTGTGTGCCCAAGATCCTGAGAGGAGAATGGAGGAGAAGGGATGGCAGCATGGCCATTCCCCCTGGTGGGTGATTTCTCACTTTCCCTCTCACTGTCTCTGTCTATGTCTTTCTCTCTCTGAGAGTTCACATGCCCTAAGGCAAAAACCTCTAAAAAAAAGTTATTACATTTTAAAAGAATTACTGTTCTTTAGAAATAAGTTACTAAAATGGAGCATGTTTTCTTGTAAAGCATGTTAATTACAAGAAGTAGAAACTGACTGGAGCTAACATAGCTGAAAACTGAACGTAATCCAAGGGTTTCAGGAAAGGACTAGACTAAGGATTTGGAATCATCGAATCTGTTTCTCTGCTCTGTTTTCTCTCTAAGCCAGACTCTGCATCCTCAGTTCACATGGAGAAATCTGGCTACTCAATAGCTCTTAAATTTACATTTGAAGGGCGGTGGACTATGACACCCCAAAACATTCCACTTTGGCATAAGGATTACATAAAAAACATTTGGAAAATGTTAGATTCAAGGGACCAGCAGTTAATGTAATGACTATGTCGCTGGACTCTATCAAAAACCTAACAACAACAAAAAGTCACTGAAGATCAAACAGTATCTTAGGATACTGGACTTATTAGGATCAGTTATGCCAGATCATCTAGTTCAGTGCTTTTCAGACTTTAGTGAGCATCAGATCCCATGGAGGGCTTGTTAAGATGTATTTCTGGGCCTACCCCAGAGTTTCAGGATTCTGTAGGTGTGGGCAAGGCTCAAAATTTGCAATTCTAACAAGTTCTCAGGTGGTGCCCATGCTGCTGTCTGGGGATCACACTTTGAGAACCTCTGATCTCATTGAGTTTCCCTTTCTAAAGATGTGTATCAGCTGAGAGGACTGTTTTATTCTATAAAGTTTCCAGGTCAGCCAGTGGCATGGTGTGGTTAAGGCCATTGGATCCCACATAGCCAACTGCATGGTTTGGACCCAGGACCTAGAGACTTGAAAAACATGCCACGTGTGTGTGTACTTACCCCCAATCCCAACAGGCAGGAGAAATAGAGAAGAATGGATTGTGACGTGACCATATTCCATGGGGGGTGCTTTCTCCCTTCTCTCTCTGTCTCTCCTTGGTGTTGCATTACACCCTCTGACAAAAGAAAAAAGTTTCTTGGCTAGCTTCTTATCCACAACAATAGAGGACAAGAGCAATGGCTGTAAAGAACTTACTGCTTGAAATATTCGGGCTCTCTACATACACAGGATCCTCGCCATGACCTGTGAGACAGCTGCTATTATGATACCCACTTCACAAACCAAGTAACCTGGGAACTGGGATCTGAACGAACCCAGACAGGTCCAGAATATGAGCTCTTAATCACTTACACTACCCTGCTTCCTGAGGTGAGATAAGAACTGTTCTTTTTAATCCATCAAGAATAATGATGATTAGGTGGTTTAGGCAGCTAAGGGAACCAAATATTTAGAAAAGCTCATTTACTCTGTCGTACATTTCCCTCTTTTGATCTCTAAACCAGTTGGTGACTCATTAGCATGGATTCAAGCCTAACATGTCTCTTACATAATGCATTCTAAATCTGCCCAGATGATATTAATGAGGACATAAAATATCAGCTTCAAAAAGTATGTTTCAAAAAGTTGTTCCATGTTAGGGGCCAGCAGATGATGGAATGGTTACATCACTGAACCCCCACATGGCTGACTGTAGTTCAAATCCCAGACCCAGTGGCTTAAAACTCATGCCAGGTATACCATGTGCGTGTGTGCCCAAGATCCTGAGAGGAGAATGGAGGAGAAGGGATGGCAGCATGGCCATTCCCCCTGGTGGGTGATTTCTCACTTTCCCTCTCACTGTCTCTGTCTATGTCTTTCTCTCTCTGAGAGTTCACATGCCCTAAGGCAAAAACCTCTAAAAAAAAGTTATTACATTTTAAAAGAATTACTGTTCTTTAGAAATAAGTTACTAAAATGGAGCATGTTTTCTTGTAAAGCATGTTAATTACAAGAAGTAGAAACTGACTGGAGCTAACATAGCTGAAAACTGAACGTAATCCAAGGGTTTCAGGAAAGGACTAGACTAAGGATTTGGAATCATCGAATCTGTTTCTCTGCTCTGTTTTCTCTCTAAGCCAGACTCTGCATCCTCAGTTCACATGGAGAAATCTGGCTACTCAATAGCTCTTAAATTTACATTTGAAGGGCGGTGGACTATGACACCCCAAAACATTCCACTTTGGCATAAGGATTACATAAAAAACATTTGGAAAATGTTAGATTCAAGGGACCAGCAGTTAATGTAATGACTATGTCGCTGGACTCCCATGTAGTTGACCACAGTTCGAGTCTCGGACCCGGTGACTTAAACTCACACCGGGTGGATGTGTGTGCGTGCCCAAGATCCTGAGAGGAGGATAGAGGAGAAGGGATTGCGGCGTTGCCATACCCCCTGGGGGGGTGATTTCTCACTTTCTGTCTCTCTGTCTCTCTGTCTGGTGAGTGCACACGCCCTATAGCAAAAACCTCTCCAAAAAAAAGAAAAAGAAAAAAAGGAGGGCATCCTAATCTCCCCTTTTCTTCCTGAAAACATGAAAACAGGAGATAAAAATTCCCTTGTGAAAGACGCCCTTCCTGTACCAGGAAAAGGGAAATATTCTTCAATGGGGAGTTTTAGCCAAGAGAATTCTGCACAAATAGACTTTGTTAAAGTCTATTATCTTATCTTCTTTTTAATCTCCCCTCATAATTCAGTTTTCCACAATTGCCTTTCTTTGCTCAACCTCATAAAAAAGCTTGTAGATTTTGTCACTTTTTTGAGCCTTCATACCTGATGAGGACTCCCATGACACTAAAAGTTGTCTTAAATTGTTATGCTTTTATCCTGTTGATCCATCTTATGTCGATTTAATTTTAGGCCCAGCCAAAGATCCTATGAGAGTAGGGGTAAAGTTTTGGCTCTCCAGCAATCCCCATATTCAGCCCCATTCAGAGATAGGCTGGCTCTTCCTAATTCTCAGTGAGGAAATCTAAAAGACTTTGTTTAGGCTAAGCAACCTCCCTTGGTCCAGTCATTTAAGGCTGTGAAAACAGGGTCATGCAATATAAATGTGGTAACCATGGTGCTTAGAGCAGGGAAGGAAATCATGGAATTATGGGACTCCCAATTATTAACACTTCAAGAAAAGTTCACTCAGGAACTCTTCCATTGCCTAACCACTCATCTCACAGGATACTTTCTATGTCTTATTGTGAGCTATAGATTAAGAATGTGATGTTCCTCAGAGTGGCCCCTAGCATAGCAGTTAAGCACTGTGGAGAAGGAGCCAGAGCCCTCATGGCCTACCATGGTTCAAAATCTGGCCTCAGTAGCTTGAAAAGCACCCTGGGCAGTGCATGTGTGTCTGGGATCCTGATAGAATGGAGAAATAGAGGGGAAAAAAGGATTGCCATGTGACCAGGCCATTGGTTTTTGTTTGTTTGTTTTTCTCTTTCTTGGTCTCTCTTAAATGCATGTCCTTAGGCAAAGAAAAAAGAAAAGAAAGAATAAGAATCTAATATTCCTGACCTATCAAATTGGCAAAAATATATGTTGATGATGAGACTGAGAAGAAATAGCCACTCATAGCAGTGGGAGTACAAAAGGGCACACACCTACATAAAAATATAGGTTCATTTGCTTTCTAAGCTAGCAGTCACACTTCTGGAAATCTATTTAACAGGGAACAAAAGAGAAATGGCCCAAGAGTATAGATGTTTTCAGCCCCTCCACTTTCACACACACACACGCACACACACACACAAAACGTAGACAAAGAATAACTTATTGCTCTATCAGGAGACAAAAACCATCCATGATCTCCATCTCTTAAGTTACAAGAATTAATTCTAACTAGTCTTGGAACATATATGCTTATATATGCTACATACCAATTAGAAAAACTGCATTCATTTTTTAAAAAGAATTATTTCATTTTATTTATTCATTCATTTATTTTAATTTGGCCAGAGAGAGACACAGAGAGCAAGAGAGAGGAAAAGTGAGATAGCAAGCTACCGGGTCCGGGACTCAAACCGTAGTTGGCCATGTGGGAGTGTCCAGCACCTTAACCACCATGCCACCTGCTGGTCCCCTGCATTCAGGTTTTAGAACTTTTCATCTATAAGGCAGCATTTTAGAACTGCTACTATTTCAAACCATGAGGCAAATTTGCCCTATATAATACTGATGTGATATAGAGGGAAATTGCTCCAAAAATATCTATTCCCACTGGTCTATGGAGTTGGGACTGCGCTGGTCCACTCTCTCTGAAGCACTGCCTGCAAAGTGCACTACCATGAACATGTTTTATCTAAGTGATAAGCAAATGAGATGGAAACATTTTGCAGCCAATCTATTCCATGCACATCTGCTGAGTTTGGGAAACTCCAAATAAGCAGCACAGCTTTACGTCAGTTGTTTGCCCTCTTGTATTCTGCAGTACATCTCTTCACGCATCACAGATTTTAAGAGTGAAATGTTTGAGAAACTCCTTAAGCACCTTTGCCACTGTGCAGATGAATTCCGCGAGGTCATAAAAACTGACATGAGGAGGAAGATGTTTGCTGAGCTCTTTCTGCATTGTGACCGTGGAAAGGTAGGTATGGTTTTCAAATTATTTGTTGCAAAGGACCAGTTTTTAGGTTGTTGTTGATGATGTTTTTAATTTCCAACCTGTCATGGATTAATACTCAATTAAATTTGATTAGTAGAAGAGAAAATGGACACACACAGTACAACTCACATATGTTATGATCAGACTCAAATCTGATTTATTATTTACTCTCTCTAATTGCTATAAATTATTCCAGGGGCTATTCCCGATTTTTGTGCCTTTTTCATTGCACACTAGCACCAGCCTACAGACCACACTTTGTGTGGCCAATTTCAGGATTTTAACTTGTTTCTAAATCTATTTACTTGCCATTCCTTTTTAATTTTTTAAAAAAAGTTTATATATTTCTTCCATGAGAGGGATACAGAAAGGAGAGAGAGGTAGGCATCCCAATAAGGTCTTCATACTACTATCCGCCCCCCTCCCACCCCGAGCTACCCAGTCCAGATCACTGGCATGTTCAGAGAGGATGCTGCATTTAAACCCAGGACCTTCCTGTGTGGGCACAACATTGTAGAGCATTGCATTACTGTGCCACACCAGCCGGTCTTTCTTTTCCATTATTAAGTGAGAAGTTTACTTAGGATCGTTATCATTTACTTTTTTATAGGTGGCTTCCTATAGCAAAGAGCTGTGAGGAATAAAATGTTTACCACTTCAGGGCTGGCCCCATAGCCTATTGACTAAGGGAGCTGAATCCCACACCAACCATGGTTCTAATCTCAGCCCTGGAGGCTTAAAAAACATACAGCAGGGCCAGCTGGTGGTTAAAGTACTGGACTTCCACATGGCCAACCATGGTTCAAGTCCCAGACCTGGTGGCTTGAAAATCACTCTGGATGTGTGTGCATCTGTGCCCAAGATCCTGGAAGGAGGATGGAGAAGTGATTGCAGTGTGGTCATATTTCCTAGGGGGTGAATTTTTACTTTTTCTTTCACTAAATCTAAAAACAAAAACAACACACACACACACACACACACACACACACGCACACTGTGTGCATGCACTCAAATTATGACAGGATGGGGAAATGGAAGAGAAGGGATTGCAGCATGGCCATGCTCCATTGTGGAATGCTTTCTTCCTCTCTCTGGCAAGTGCACATGCCTTCTGGCAATTTAAAAAAAAAGAAAAAGAAAAAGAAAAAAAGAAAGTCTACCACTTTTATTATGCTGTTCTTAAAAACAAGAAGAGTTTGGGACCAGCAGATGGTGTAATGGTTACATTGCTGGACTCCCATGTAATCAACCACAGTTTGAGTCCTGGACTTAAAACTCATTCTGAGTGCATGTGCCCAAGATCCATAGTGGAGAATGGAGGAGAAGGGATTTTACTGTGACCAAAACCCCCCTGGAGGGGTTGGGGGGGGGGTGGTGATTTTTCACTTTCTGTCTCTCTGTCTCTCTAGTGAATGCACATACCCTATAACAAAAATCTCTTAAAAACAAAAAGAGGGACCAGCAGATGGTGCAATGGTTATATTCCTGGACACCCATGTAGTCAACTGTGGTTTGAGTCCTGGACCTGGCAACTTAAACTCATGCCTGGTGCATATGCATGCATGCCCAATATCCTGAGAGGAGAATGGAGGAAAAGGGATTGTAGTGTGGCCATCCCCCCAGGGGGTGATTTCTCACTTTCTGTCGCTCTGTCTCTCTGTCTCTCTGTCTCTGTCTCTCTTTCTCTCTCTCCAGCAAGTGCACATGCCGTATAGCAAAAATCTCTCTTAAAATAAAAAAAAGAAAAGGACTCTTCCATTGGAGCTGAGAACTGGTGCTTTCAGGGATTAAGAGTAATGAAGATTTTCTGCTGAGACTTCACCCTCCAGACCCCATACTTTAGTGGGTCAACATATTCCTCAATTCCCACTGAATCTGCTACTGCACAAAAGGAGAAAAACAAAGGGAATGACAAAGAGATTGCAGATCATCTCCTCTTGCATGCCTCTGAATCCTCAGATTGAATTTCTAGGAATTAGGAAGAAATGTATAGCCCATCAGATGACCAGAAATCACCACAGAACCACAAGAAATATGAAAAACCAAGAAAATACCTCTTCCCCAAGGGAAAAGAATAGCTCCTCTTTTTTCAGAGACAGTACAATGAAATTCACAGAAATATCTGATAAAGAATTCAGAATATTCATAGTGACAAAGCTAACATAGATGCAAGAGAAGAGAGACAATGAATTCCAGAAGAGACACGAGAAAAGAGCCAATGAGTTCCAGGAGGTGAGGAAGTTCTTGCATGATCTGAAAGAGGAAATACACACCATAAGAAATGAATCAAATGGAACTGTTAGAGATGAAGGCTATAATACAGGAAGTCAAAACCTCCCTTGAAAGTATTAAAAGACTAGATCACACAGCAGATCGAATCGCAGATGTAGAAGTCAGAATCACTGGACTAGAAAAATCCACCATCAAAACTGAGAAAACAGCCTCCCCCCACCAAAATGAGAATAATATACAAGAAATACTGATACCATTAAATGTCCAAACATCTGGATATCGGTATCCCAGAAGGTGAAGTAACTAATAAGGACATTGATAATCTATTCCATGAAATTCTGAAGAAAACTTTCCAAACCTAGAGAGGCATTCAAAGATCCAGACCCAAGAAATACAAAGGACTCCAAATAGAATCAACCAAGATGATCTTCTCCAAGACACATTATAGCCAGGTTGACCAAAACCACAAAGACAAGGTACTGAGATTGGCAAGACAGAAACATCAAATTACCTAGAAAGGATATTCTATCAGGCTAACAGCAGACCTCTCATCAGAAATAATGTGAACAAGGAAAGAATGGGAAAACATATTCAAAGTGCTAAGTGAAAAACAATTTCAACCAAGAATACTATACCTGGCAAGATTATCCTTCATATGGGAAGAGAAGACAAATATATTCTCAGATAAACAAAACTCGAAAGAATTTACTGACACTAGACTGGCTCTCTAGAAGTTCTGGAGGGAGTGCTATATCAGGAAAACTAAAGTCAGACACAGAGAAATAAGAGTTCAAAAACAACCAAGAAGATGACCATCTTCATGGTAGGGGCAAGTCTGGAGTTAAATGTTATCTTCCAGAATTTAAATGGAAAGATTGGACCATAACAGAAGATAAAGTACATGAGACTGAACTGTTGAAATAGAATTTTAAGACTTTTTACTAAAACATTACTGATTTTCTTCTATGCTTTGTTTTCCAGAGTTAAGGATTTTTGTCTTCTCTCGAGTTGTTGACAGGTCCATGTACCTACTATTTGAACAGAATCCTAACCTACTTCCTGGCTTTAAGTCCTAAGCAAAGTTCTCTTAATATTTTTATTATGATTTATTAAAGCTAAAACTGCCTTTCTTGAAATTAAAAAAATATATTAAAATACCTACTTAATGACCACAGTAAGCTATATAACCTTAGGTAGGTGCTACTTTAGAGTATATTCAATCTACTCACAGTTTCATGCCTGATATCAAACATGCGTTCACAAATATGTATATATCAGCTGAACTTGCTATTGAAAGTAGTTAGATTGATTAAGATATTTTGTGAATCAATAAAATGTGAAAAAAAATTTTTTTCTCTTTTTTTGGAGAGGTTTTTGCTTTAGGGTGCATGCGCTTGCCAGACAGACAGAGAGAGACAGAGAGACAGAAAGCGAGAAATCATCCCCCAATGGGGATGGCCACACCGCAATTCTTTCTCCTCCATTCTCCTCTCGGGATCTTGGGCTTGCATGCACACGCGCCAAGCGTGAGGTTTTAAGCCACCGGGTCCAGGATGCGAACCGCAGTCGACCACATGGGAGTCCAGCGACATAGCCATTATGCTAACTGCTGGTCCCGAGAAAAATTTAAAAAGGAATGGAAAGTAACTGCAGATACCGGACACAGTGGGAGGAAGGTGGGAAATGGCAGAGGATGAGAAATAGGGGGGAAAACATACATGCATGCACACACACACACACACACACACACACACACACCTCACACACACATAAGAAACATGAAGTAGAAAAATTATTTGTTGATGGTAACATGTATGATTAAGTCACTGTACAGTGTATTCTGGATGGGAAATTGGACTTTGTATGCTGTGATATTCAGTGAATAAGTGTAAAATAAATAAATTTTTTAAAAGAAGAAAGAAAAAAACAAGAATTTATACTAAAAAGTATTTCTAAGAGGTGGGGAAATGAAAGTAAGTTTCTTATATTAGGTATGAAGTATGAGGGAACTTTAAAAAGTTCATGGACGGGTCAGCAGGTTGCATGGTGGTTAAGGTTCTGGACTCCCACACGGCCTACCATGGGCCAAGTCCCAGACCTGGCAGCTTTAAAATCACACTGGCCACATGTGTGTATGTGCCCCAAATCCTGAGAGGAATGGAGGAGAAGGTACTGTGGCAGAGCGGTGATTGGTCACTTTTCCTTTCCCTGTCTCTGTGTAATGAGCACACATGCCCTATGGCAAAAACCTAAAAATACATATATGTGTGTGTAGTCTAAATACTCTGTAAAAAGACAGAAATTGTCAGGCTGAATAAAAATACAAGAATCAATATAAAGACATTGATAGTAAAGAGATCATAAAAAGATACACCATGGAGGGGCTGGATGGTGGTGCAGCAATAAAATGTGATGCTTTGCAAGGCTGACTACATGGAAAGATTCCAGGGTCGAGTTTGAAGACCTCCCTGAGAATGCTGAGTATGTGTGATGGTTTGGGGCTAGCTGGGGCTGAGGATGGATTGTGGCATTGGGATCCTTTTAGAGGTGCTATCTTTCTTTCTGCCTGTCTGTCTCTCTTTCTTTGTGCTCTTATTCATAGGGAAAAAATAAAATAAATGTTTATAAAATGATACACCATGTGGGCCAACAGGTGGTATAGAGGGTAAGGCAGTTAGTTGGATTCCCACATGGCCAATTTCATGGCCAATTTTGCCGTATAGTAGAAACTTTAAAAAATAAAGAGATATACCACCATGGACGTGCTAAGAAAGTCAGAGTGGCTGTATTAATATCAAGGGAGACTTCAGAACAAGGAGTGTTACCAAAGATTAAAAAGGATATTTCATAATTTGACAAAAACACATAGTAATTCTAAATGTACACTTACCTAATTGCCAAAATACGTAGTATAAAATACATGAAGCAAAAAATGACAGAACTACAATTATAATTGGAGATTTAAATATTACTTTCTCTGTAATTCACAGAACAAGAGTCAGGAAATCAATAAGGATATAAAAAACTCGAACAACACCATCAATCAACTCAACTTGAGGTGTTATAGACATTCCACCCATTAACAGCAGAAAAGCACACTTCTCAAGTACACTCAAAACACGCACCAAGATGATTATACGCTGTGTCATGAAACAAGTCTCAATAAATTTAAAAGAACTGAAACAATACAATACATGATCTGACTGCAGTAAAATTAAATTAGAAATCAACAGCTGGAAAATTCTCAAATATTGGAAATTAAACAACAGGAGAAAAGAGGAAATCTCTTAGCTACTCTCGTTTCTCCATTGAACTGGGCAGTCAATAGCATTTAAAAAAACAAATGGTGCAGGCCAGCAGGTGACATGGTGGTTAAGGGGCTGGATTACCACATGACCAAATATGGTTTTGGTTTGAGTTCTGGACATGGGGGCTTGAAAATCAGAATAAATAAATAAATTTTTGAGAGGTTTTTGCTATAGGGTGCGTGTGCTCGCCAGACAGACAGAGACAGAGACACAGAAAGCAGGAAATCACCCCCCAGGGGGATGGTCACGCCGCAATCCCTTCTCCTCCATTCTCCTCTTGGGATCTTGGGCATGCATGCTCACGCGCCTGGCGTGAGTTTTAAGTCACCGGGGCCGGGATGCGAACAGCGGTTGACTACGTGGGAGTCCAGCGACATAGCCATTACGCTAACTGCTGGTCCCATAAATAAATGTTTTTTTAAAATGGTGCTAGAAAAACTGGCTATCCAAATGTGGGAGAAAAAGTTGTGCTTGAAGCCTTACCTCACGTTATATACGAAATGAAGCTTGAGACCTAGCTGTGGTGGTGCAGGCAGTAGGGCGCCACTGTGTGATACTGGAGCCACAGTGGAGGGCTGGGTTTTTCCCAGGTAGATCTGAACAGGCCAGGCGCACCTAGTCACTCCTATGATCCCATCTGGTTGGGTGGCTGAGGGGAGGATTGTGGTATGGGGAGACCCTGTCAAAGGTTCTCTCTCTCTTTCTATCTCTCCTCCCTTATTTCTCTTTCAAGAAACAAGTAAATAAGCTTTTAAAATAGTTCGAAATGGATTTTAGACCTAAATGTTTAGCATAAAACTCACATGCTTCCAGAAGAAAACATGAACCTTGAAAAAAAATGTGATAAATTAAATTAAAAAATTTAAAAAAATAAATTAAAAAATTCTGCTCTTTGAAAAACACTATGGGGCCAGCCCAAGGCCTATTGCTTGAAGGAGCTGGATCCCACATCACCTCGTAAGTGATTCAAGTTCCAAATTTGGTGGCTTGAAAAACACACCAGGTGCATGTATATGTGTGCCCAAAATCCTGACAGGAGGTAGAAATGGAAGATAAGAATTGTGTTGTGATCATGACCCATGGGATAGGGGTCAGGTGGCTTTCTCTCTGTCTCTCTCTGGCAAGCATACACACTCTCTGGCAAATTAAAAACCAAAACCCAAAAGCCAAAAGGATGCTATTAAGAAAATGAAGGGGCCAGGGACCAGCAGTTAGCGTAATGGCTATGTCGCTGGACGCCCATGTACTCGAGTGCAGTTCGAGTCTCTGACCCGGTGGCTTAAACTCATGCCAGGTGCGCATGCGTGCATGCCCAAAATCCCAAGAGGAGAATGGAGGAGAAGGGATTGCAGCGTGGTCATCCCTCCTGGGGGGTGATTTCTCTCTCCCTGTCTCTGTCTTTCCGGCAAGCACACACGCCCTATAGCAAAAACCTCTCAAAAAAAAAAAAAAAAAGAATAATCCAATTTTAAAATGGGCAAATGAATTGATAGACAACTTTCCAAAGAAGACTCACAAATGACCAAGAGGCATATGGAAAAAAATTTTCAAAGTCTCTTGACATAGGAAAATGCAATTTAAAACCACAATGAGATACCATTTAACCCCAGTTAAAATGGCTAGGATCAAAAAACTAAAGAACAAGTCTGACAAGGCTGTGGTGAAAAGCGAACCTTCTTACACTTTTGGTGGGAACATAAATTAGTACAACCTCTGTGGAAAATAATATGGATAGTGATTTAATGTTTTTAAAAAATTGGAATAATAATAATAATCTGGAAAAAAATGGAAAGCTATTGGATGATGATGATGGGAATTTTAATGTCTTTATATTGACTGATATGAATAGTATTCCTTCTGGAAAAAGAAATGTAATACACTGTAAAGTTATATGTGATTTAATGTAACATAAACAAGACTATGATAATAATTAAAAAATTTTTTTAAAAGAAAAATAAACAATATGGAGGTTCTTCAAAAAAAAACTATCATTTGTAGTTCTACAAATATAACTACCATATTACCCAATAATTCCACATCTTGGTATTTGTCCAAAGGATAGGAAAGCACTGAATCAGGAAGACACTTGCACATCCATGTTTATTGCAGCATTACTCACAATTATTAGACATGGAATCAACCTACATGTCCAAAAACTGATGGCTAGTTTGAAAAACTGTGATACCTATATACTATAGAATATTGCTCAGTCGTAAGAAACAATGAGATCCTATTGTTTGATTCAAAGTGGTTGAATATGGAAGAATTAATGTTAAGCAAAGTGAGCCAGACTTTGAAAGATACACACTGTTTATCCTCACTCAGTATGTACCAAATGTCTGCACTCTGTGGCAGAAATCAAAAGGTTCAAAGATATGATAGTAGAGAGGATGACTGTACATACCAAAGACTGTAAGGGAGGAAGAGTGGGTGATAGAGAGTGGGTGGTAGAGGGTGGGTGGAAGGGGCAAAGGGAAGAAACATATTACAGACAAAGGAATGTAAATTTCTCTGTTGAAAAAAATTGTGGCAGGGGTCAGCAGGTGGTGTGGTGGTTGAGGGTGCTGGACTCCTACATGGCTGACCACGATTCAAGTCCTGAACCTGGTGGCTTGCTTTCTCTCTCTCTTTCTCTCTCTGACTCTGTCTCTCTCTGATCAAATTAAAATGAATGAATGAATGAATAAATAAACAAAAAGTTAAACTAATTCTTTTAAAAATTGTGGTGTTTTTATATTATAGAGTATCATACAATAGTTAAAAAGAATAAAATTTCTTTTTTTTTTCTTTTTTTGGAGAGGTTTTTGCTATAGGGTGCGTGCACTCGCCAGAAAGACAGAGAGAGAGACAGAGAGATAGAAAGCGAGAAATCACCCCCCGGGGGGATGGCCACGCCGCAATCCGTTCTCCTCCATTCTCCTCTCTGGATCTTGGGCACGCAAGCACATGCGCCCGGCATGAGTTTAAGCCACCAGGTCCAGGACTCGAACCGCAGTCAACTATGTGGGAGTCCAGCAACATAGCCATTACGCTAACTGCTGGTCCCTCTTTTCTTCTTTTTTAGAAACAGGGTCTTGTTATGTTGCCCAGGCTGGTCTTGAACTTGTGACCCTCCTGACTCAGCCTCCCACTGGCTTGGACTACAGGCACAAATACAATGTCCAGCTTAAAAATATATTTGTTTTTCTTTTTTTATGATAGAGACTGCAATTATGCACGAAGGAGAGAGAGAGAGAGAGATGCTTAATATGGTCTTGTCATGATGTGATCCTCTTTCCCCAGCCATCCAGCTACTTAGGATTCTGAGCACCCACACCCAGGATGTTTTTAGGCTGGCATGGCTATCTGAACTAGCGGTTGCCATTTAGCTTTTAGCCTTGCAGGACACTTGCATTACCCATGTGTCTCAGCAGCTGGCCCTAAAATATATTCCTTTACTTGCATGAATTAGATCTCAATACTGAGTAAATATGCAATTAAATTTTTTCTCAAAACAATGCAAAAAAGATCAAGTAGGAATAGTTAATTGTTTCCAGTGACATATTCAGATCAGATTAGAGTGAACATTATACATTGTACTTAGCAATTAATAAATCAACAGCAACAAATATTATATTTACTAAGCATAAGGCATTTTGACATGTCTCAGATTGGGAATGTCAAGTATAAGCCTAAAGGCAAGATATAGTTCTCTTGATTTTGATGTTGTAGCTTTTAGTTATATGATGATGGTGGTAGTGGCAATCATGATAAGATCTTAAATAAGTTATATTTCATTTACATAAAAATCCTAAATCTCTTGTAGTTGCTAATTACAACTTTCTGTTTAGATAGGGTTTTTGGATCGGCAGAGAACACTGGCCTTGCTGGAAACGTTCTATGATCAAAGTCCACAAATGCTTAGGAGTATACTCCGAAACCCAAGACAGTGTAAGTGCCACTCAGAGGGAGTGTGCTCAAGTGGGCATGAGGCAGTCCACTGATGCGATAACACAGAATCATTCTACCCCATGGAATCCTTTCACAGAACATCTTTAGAGCATGTTATCTATTCCAACACTTGTTCCCCCATCAAATTCATTCTTTATCGTAAGTAGATGTATTTTTCACCGTAGTGCAGTGCTTAAATTATCATGCCATAACTCAGCTAGAACTTAATGATAAATTCATTCAGATGAAGGGCTGCTTTGGTGACAAATTTGAATGTTTTAGATACCAGGTTGGTAATGGTGACTCTATTTATAATGTCTAACTTGGTAATAGTAATTTCATTTATAAAGCCCAGTTTAGAATTCTAAGATTTCTAAAGAAAGTATCACCTTCTCCCAAACATTTTTTTAAGAGAGATTTTTGTTATAGATCGTGTGTGCTTGCCAGAGACACAGAGAGAGACAAAAGGTCTCCTCACGGGAGATGGCCATGACACGATCCCTTCTCCTACACTTTCCTCTCGGGATTTTGGGCATGTACATATGTATGCCCAACCAGAGTCTTTTTTTTTTTGGAGAGGCTTTCACTATAGGGTGCATGTGCTCGCCAGACAGACAAAGAAAGACATAGAGACAGAAAGCGAGAAATCACCCACCAGGGGGGATGGTCACGCCGCAATCCCTTCTCCATTCTCCTCTCGGGATCTTGGGCACACACGCACATGCGCCTGGCGTGAGTTTTAAGCCACCAGGTCGGGGACGCGAACTGCGGTCGACTACGTGGGAGTCCAGTGACATAGCCATTACGCTAACTGCTGGTTCCCAACCCAACCAGTGTCTTAAGCCACCAGATCCAAGACTAGAACTGCAGTCCACTCCATGGGAGTTCAGCAATGTAACCATCTACTAGTCCCCTCCCAAGCATTTTTACTTGTATGTACTTATACAGTAAAGTATTCTTTTTATATTACTATTAGGACAAAATTAATTATGGGTTTTATTTTTTATTTTTTATTTTATTTTATTTTTTTAAGAGGTTTTTGCTATAGGGCACATGCGCTCACCAGACAGAGAGAGACAGAGAGACAGAAAGCGAGAAATCACCCCCCGGGGGGATGGCCACGCTGCAATCCCTTCTCCTCCATTCTCCTCTTGGGATCTTGGGCATGCACGCACATGTACCCGATGTGAGTTTTAAACCACCGGGTCCAGGACACGAACCACGGTCGACTACATGGGAGTTCAGCAACATAGCCATTACGCTAACTGCTGGTCCCTATTTTTGCTTTTAAAGATAAAGTCTTCTGGACCAGTAGATGATGTAATGGATACATCACTGGACTCCCATGTAGTCAACTACAATCCCAGACCCCGTGGTTTAAACTCACGCCGGGCCCTTGTGCATGCATGCCCAAGGTCCCGAGAGAAGAATGGAGGAGAAGGGATTGCAGCGTGGCCATCCCCCCTGGGGGGAGATTTCTCGCTTTTTGTCTCTCTCTCTTTCTGGCCAGCACACGCGCCCTATAGCAAAAACCTCTATCCCCACCAAAAAAACGATAAAGTCTTCTAATGACTGCATTTCCATCAGGGAAATCAATATTTTATTATATGTGAAGATTTATTACTTACTTAAAAATCTATGGGTGATATATCAATACATGGAGTATTCCTGAAAATTGTGGCAATCTCAGTTTTACAGCTTAACCACTAAATGTCGGGACAGAGGGTGGAGATAATCTCATGGCATGAGTCCCACTCACTATAGTCCTGGATACCAGAGTTATATGTTGTTTTTTGGTTGGTTGGTTTGGTTTGGTTTGAGTTTTTTTGAGAGAGATTTTTGCTATAGGATGCATGTGCTCACTAGAGATACAGAGAGAGATAGAGAGAAAGAAAGTGAGAAATCACCCACCAGGAGGAATGGCGACACTGCAATCTCTTTTTCTTCATTCTCCTTTCAGGATTTTGGGCACACATGCACATATACCTGGCATGAGTTTCAAGCTGCTTGGTCTGGAACTTGAACTGTAGTCGACAATGTGGTAGTCCAGCAATGTAACCATTACGCCATCTGATGCTCCCATTATTCTTGTTTTTTAGTACTGGAATTCTGGTAACTACTATCCAGTATTTGCCTAAAATTCTGAACCAGGCACAGAAGTTGTGAAGGAAAAGAACCTGAGGAATGAAGAAAGAATATAGGGGGAAAGGAAGGGAGGAAAAAAGGAATACTGGAAAAACAGGGAAAAAAAGTGATTGTTTCCTCAATGAAAGATCATCAAAGATAAAGACTTCTTTTGATCTTTTATATTGCAGATATTGAAAGATATTGGAATTAGGGAAAAAAAGAAAATATATTTGAGATGGAAAACACATCCCCTTCCTTATCCCAATGCTATGCTTACTATGGAAAGAGCACAAAGATAGAAGATAAATTACATTTTCTTGGCAGTCTAAGCAACACTCCAAGTACCAAAATAATTTTGTTAATTTCCCAAACCATACCTTTTAGGAAGGGATAATCTCTAATGTAGGGTAGTGAGCATTTTTTATGTTCCTCTGGGTACCTTTTTGCTTTATATTGTGTTTCATTGATAGGTAACTGATATTTATTTAAAGCAATGAGTCTATATTACAATCATTGTATTCAATGCTTTTTTACGTTAATTTACTAGTTCTGATTCTAACGTATAAGATTAAGTATTTAGGTAAATATTCTGTTTCTTGTATTAGGGCCGTTCATTGAATTTGAGGAGATAGTATTATCTGAGTTCTGGGGAGACATGGATAATCAGAAACACATTTATGAAGACTTTGACAAAATGCTGTTAGAGATGAATACATTACTTTCTGAAAATCATATTGATAGAACCCAAAGTGAATTATTAGAAAATCCAGAATATCAACATAAACATGATGAACAAAGAACATCACTACCACCACCAAACCCACCAGGACAGCAGAGAAGGAGAACTGTGGAACAAGGACCACACAGAATTTCAACTGAAGAACAAGGAAGAGCGCCAACTACAGAACAAGAACTGCACAGAGAATCAATAGCAGAACAAGCAGTAAACACAGAGGCAACTCCAGAACAAAGACCACAAAGAGGGTCAGTAATAGAACAAGGACAGAGCCAAGGGTCAACAGTAGGACAAGGACCACGCAGAGTGTCAGCTTCAGAACAAGGGTCAGACAGAAAATCAATAATAAGTCAAGAACCACTCACCATGTCCGCTTCAGACCAAGAGTTACAGAACGAGACTATAATGGAGGGAACACTCAGAGTGTCAGCATCTGAACAAGGGTCACGTAGAGACTCAATAATAGAGCAAGGACCACCCAGAGTGTCTACTTCAGAACAAGGGTCACACAGAGAGACAGTAATAGAGCAAGGACCACGCAGAGTTTCAATTTCAGAACAAGGGTCACGCAGGGAGTCAATTACAGAACAAGAACAGCACAAAGGGTCAATAGGACAAGGACCACACAAAGTGTCACTTTCAGAATATGAATCACTCAGTGAGCTGACAGTAGAAGAACCACTCAATGAATCAGAACAAGGCCCTTATGAAGAGGTAATTCCCATAGAACAACAGGACAGAGACTCAATTTCACAATCAAGAAAAAGTAGTATCTTGAAAGAAAGTATGAAATCTAGGGAGGCTGCTCCCTCTAAGTTCATTGAAATCCCTACTCAGGAACAGAGGTCTTGGGAACAAATACATAAAGAGGAACCAGTCACGAGTTCTGAAGTGCAAGAGAAAGTTCCAACATCAACTAGAAAAGATCGTCATTCAGGTAGCAATGCAATTCTCCTACAGAGCTCCCTGTTTTGTAGAGTGGTTTTGAAAGTCTTAATAAAACACATAGTCAAATGAGGCTCTTCCTAGCATATGGGATCATGCAAACCTTAGACATAGTTTGCTGCTCAACATGAGTCTAGACCTTGAGCAACCAATTAAATGAAAATCAGAAATGACTTTCCGTGTCACTATTGTCAATTTACCTGAAATTCCTTTTGTATTAGAAATCCATTACTGAGGAAGAAATCTGGTAATGTTACCTGTAGAAATGTCTTAACTGGGTTTCTGAAAAAGCAATAGAAGTCTTTTTATTCTAAATGTGGGATATTTTTAATATTGGAAACCATTTTTAAAATTTTTAAAAATTTTACCTATAAAATGGGTCTTGCTTTTTTCAGTTAGATTAAGATACACATTCTAGAAGAGTTTCTGAAAGTCATATGTAAGACAGAAAGCACCCTGTGTTTCAAGTATTTATTCAAGTTTCACTGGTCAGGATTTAGGCATACAGTGATAAGTAGCTGAGATAATAGTTAGGAAATGTAGCTCTCATTTTGCATGCCAAACTGGGATGCAGCACATAGATTTTGTCACAGAGCTGCTCTCAACAATTAAAATTATTAAGTAATTTCCCTGTGTTTGATTACAACACATAAACATGGGAAAATACTTAGGGTTTTTGGTGTTCTGAATGTGAGGCATTTCTCTCCTTCACTAGCCTTAGAATATCTGAATGATATGTAATGTCCAATTTGTAGTTAATTTCTTTTGTTCTTTTAGAAACTTCAAAAAAGGAAGTTCAGAAAGACAAATCCTGTGAACCCAAATCCCAAAAAATAGAAGGAAAGTCATGGTCAGGTAACATTTCATTTAGTCTTCCTTTTATTTATATTCTGGAACAAAATCATTGCATAAGTGAAGTTTAATTGGCTGTGTTATAGAATGTATTTTTTTACAGGTGAAATTTTGACTTACAACTGGAAGATGAACCATGTCAAATTTGAAGATGAGGATCAGGCAAACTCAATCTATGGTGACTCCAGGTTCACAGGTATACCTCGACAATGAAACTAGAGGGCATAGATAGCAGACTAATAGATGTAGTTCATTTACTGTGGTACCCCATGATAAGACTAGCGTTAGCTAAGATATAATGAGAAGTGATCCTTGCATTATTTTGTCCCTGAACTGACGGATCTAAATATGTACAAGATAGATGTTTTGGGTGGTGGTGTACTATCGTTGGTGGCATGAGCTGTTGATAAATACTCTTCTCACTGTCTCTGTCTCTCTCTCTCTAACAAGTGCACATACCCTAAGGCAAAAAAACTTAAAAAATATAGATTATGACATTTATTTACCATTACTTGGCCCTACAACTGCTTTGAAGCTATGATTCAAACATACAAAGGGAATCAAATATTAAATATTAGAACTCAATAACAATTATTCCAGCTATTCCTTCTAGTAGGTGCACATCCAAATATGTGAGACAGGTGAAAATCTATCTTGCTTTCAAGACTTGCAAAGAAAGATCTACTTAACAGAGCAAAGAGTAGTTTTTAGCATTTAGATAAACCATGTATTTAACACCAATACAAAAATTACTCATATTTTATCATTTTACCTTTCACATCAACAATAGTAGTACTAATTACATCAAGAGTATATTCTTCCTATATGCATTTTTTTTTCTCATTTAAGCCTAGGTTAAATAACAAACTCCCCTGAAAATATTCTGGTGAAAATGAAAGGCATTGGTCAAGCTTTTGTGGTCTGCTAGTTCATGCTCTTCCTAGTCTCTTTTCAATTTTGATTAATTTTATCTTTTAGAGAGAGATTTTTGCTAAACGGTGCATGTACTTACTGGAGAGACAGAGAGACAGAAAGTGAGAAATCACTCCCCAAGAGAGATGACCACGCTGCAATCCCTTCTCCTCCATCCTCCACTAAGGATTTTGGGCAGGCATGCACACGCATGAGTTTCAAGCCTCTGGGTCCGGGACTCAAACTGCAGTTGGCTGTGTGAGAATCCAGTGACATAAACACTACACAATCTGGTAGTCCTTCATTTTATCATTATTTTTTTAAAAATCGAATGGGTAATTATTTTTAAGGCACACCAAATCTTACATAGAAGGCACAAAGACGTGAATGATTGAATCAATGATTACATCAAATATAAGTCACTGTGAAGACATTTTATGAGCTATGCTTCATGTTTCAACATTGAGCCTCAAGATAAATATATTGGTGAAGGGACCAGCGTGTTATGTAGTGTTTAAGGAGCTGAATTTCTACATGGCCAACCATGGTTTGAGTACTAGAGCTGAAAGCCTGAAAATCACACTGGGCACACATGCTCTGCTGACAGCCTGAAAATCACACTGGGCACACATGCTCTTGTGCCAAAATACCAAGTGGAGAATGGAGGAAAAGGGATTGTGATATGGCTATCCTTCTTGGGGGGTGATTTCTCACTTTCCTTTTTTCTCTCTCTCTCTCTGGTCAAATTAAAAAATAATAGTAACAAATGAAATTAAATAAATAAATATTTTTAAAAAGAAAGAATATGTATATGTATATATATGTAATATATGTGATATTTTAGTAGTGATATTTACTAATTTATTTAACTGAAAAGTGTAGAGTACAGTAGGTTTTAGGCATATTTAGATCTATGAGTTCAACAATAGTAGAATATTTTTCTAACTCTCAACCCTGTTCTCGGTGTCACTTTCAACCTTTTTTTTTTGAGAGAGAAATTTTGCTATAGGGCATGTACGCTCACTAGAGAGACAGTCAGAAAGCTAGAAATCACCCCTCATGGGGATGACCACACCGCAGTCTCTTCTCCTCCATTCTTCTCTCATAATTTTGGGCACACATGCACATGTGCCTGGCATGAGTTTCAAGCTGCCAGGTTCAGGACTTGAACCACAGTTGGCCATGTGGGAGTCCAGTGCCTTAACCACTACACCACCTGCTGGCCCCATCACTTTCGATTTTTTTCCAATGAGGCATTTTATTTGTATGTATATATTATATCACTATAAAAAGAATCTCAGGATTTTCCCTTCAGTATGTTTCCATCTTGCTTCTTCATGGTCCATGATGCCTGCCGAGGTTGTCAGTACAATGAAACCAAACTGACAGGATAGGAGCAAATTATTCTGCCATTTCTCTAGATCTTTGAGTTGCACATCAAATCTGGGGCTGATCACTCCATACTTCTTTAACCTACTGGTGAGGTTCACAGCAGTTTTTCCAGCTCTGTGGTCATCAATGATTTCAAATTTACCAATGTAACCATGCTTCATCCTCACAGTTAGAAACTGGACAATAGCTTTGGAGCACGGCCTAATAAGATTCTGGCGTTTACCTCTCTTTTCAGCATTGTTGATGCTTTTGAGGGCATCAGGCAGGACATTCAAGTGTACCACTATGGAGGCACAGAAAGATGGTGGAAACCCATCACTTTCAATTTTGAGATGTTTTCTCTATATTGTTTTCTCTGTATTAAAAGAAAAAAAAAAAAACACTTAGAACATCTCTAAGCTTATCTCCTACTATTTTAGCAACCAGAGTATAAAAAACAGATTCTTCTGCAGTAGTTTTCCCAAAAAGTTCTGGAGCTAATCCTCATTGGCCTACAGTTAGTTACATTCCTGTCACATGTGAATCATTGTCCAGCCCTCTATTACATGGTGGTTTGTGGACCAAAGACGGGGAGGCCGACTTATCTGAACTGACAGTGGAGGAGAGCTGTTTTCTCAAAGGTAAAAGAAGGCTGCTATCCTCATGCAGGAAGCATGAATTCCTGACAGGCAAAAACAGCAAATGTCCATTACAATCTGTACACATTTATTTTCCCTAAGATTTCAGAAAAATCATTCACTTTATCACTTGGTATATGTTTTCTGCTTGACAGATCTACATTTAGTAATCAGAAATATTCAGTCTTACAAGGAAATAAAAGGTAGGAGTGCCTTCAATGGAGTTTCCTTCAATCTGCTCCAGTTTGTGCAGCTTCTGGAGACATTTATTGGTGAAGATGCTCCCTTGAGTGTCAGTGAGACGCTTACCTCCTTTTTTAAGAGAGGATATGTTGAAACAAAAGAAGAGAAAATGAGTGCCTTAGAACAGGTGGGTAACATCATTTATCATGGGAACAAGTGATGTCACTATTATATGTAAATCTCTCAACCTCAGTTGTTCCTAGTGTGGTTCTTTTTTAAAAAGTTTACAACCAGACTCATGACTTTATTTCCACAAATATAGCTATTATTTTATTTTTGAGAGATTTTTGTTATAGGTCACATGCACTTGCTAGAGAGACAGAGAGCAAGAAATCACCCCCCAGGGGGGAAGGCCACACTGCAATCCCTTCTTCTCCATTCTCCTCTCAGGATTTTGGGTACCCACCCACATGCACCTGACCTCTGAGTTTCAAGCCGCTGGGTCCAGATCTTGAATTGCACAGTCGGTCATCCAGTGCCTTAACTGCTACATCTACTGACCCTACGCTTAATTTAAAAAAAAAATTGCTGTAGGACATATTCACTCTCTGGAGAGTCAGAGAGAAAGTGAGAAATCACCCCACTCCCCAACCCCCACCCCCAGGGAAGATGGCCACACTACAATCCCTTCTCCTCAATTCTTCTCTTGGGATTTTGGGCACACATGTACATGCACCCAGCATATTTTTTTAAGCTGCCAGTTCTGGGACTCAAACCCCAGAGTCGAACAGGTGGGATCCAGTGTCCCAACTACCATATCACCTGCTGGCCACTTTCTTTTTGCAACTAGTTATATCTAGATATTAATTCAATTACTATTAGTTAATAGAATTAATTTAGTGGAAAATGTAAAAGATAAGTAAAATTAATGTCATTAGGTCAGTATTAAGTATAAAAATGAAATTTTGGGAGGACCAGCAGTTGGCATAATGGCTATGTCGCTGGACTCCCCTGTAGTTGACCATGGTTCAAGTCCTGGACCTGGTGGCTTAAACTCACGCTGGGCACATATGCATGTGTGCCCAAAATCCCAAGGGGAGAGTGGAGGAGAAGGGATTGCAGCATGGCCATCCGGGGGTGGGGGTGGGGGGTGGTTTTTCACTTTCAGTTTCTTTGTCTCTCTCTGTCTTTCTGGTGAGCACACGCTCCCTATAGCAGGAAACTCTCCCAAAAAAAGGAAAATTTTTAAATTTGCCAGAAGGCAACTGTGCTCATCAAGAAGAGACAGAGAAGAGAGAGAGAGAAGTAGAAAGCATCCCACAATGGGGCATGGTCACACTACAATCCCTCCTTCAGTTTTCCATTCTTTTAGGACTTTGATGTGCTCACACATGTGCCAAACATGTTTTTTGAAGTTTCTGGAACCAGAACTTGAACCATGTGGTTAGCCATGTGGGATCTGGCTCTCTGAACTATCAGGCCACGGGGCCAGCCCCACCATCTCCCAAAAAGAATTTTTTTAAGCATAGCTGTCTTTCATTGTTTGAACACTGCCATTCAATCCCTTTCCCTCAAGAAAATCCCAAGAAGCCAGGCAAAGCACTCATGTGTTTATCACATTCCTGAACAAACATGGAGGGGGAGTAGAAAGGAATGATCAAAGATTCTTAGGAGGGCCCAGCAAGTGGTGTGGTGGTTAATGATGCTGAACTTCCACATGGCCAACTGTGGTTCAAGTCCTGGACCTGGCAGCTTGCTTTCTCACTTTCTCCCCGCCCCTCCCAAGTCAGATTAAAATAAATAAAGTTAAATAAAATCATTCTAAAAAAAATAGATTCTTGGGGGGGGGTGTAATAGCCTTTCTAAGTTAATATGTTTTATTCCAGTGCAAAGAATGCCTACGTTTTTGGTCTAGAGGTGAAACAGGAAAACGACATTTAGGGGATTAAAATTAATCACTGCATTCTTCATTAAAATCACACTTAGCCCTAAAGTAAAGCTGTACTTTTTAAAGAAATAAATATGAGATGTAAGCCAGCACAATGAACATATCTTCTGTGTTTTGTTACCCTGTCTGCATTCTAGATTAGACAAAATGCTTTCCATGTCCGTCGAGGGCTTCTCTTAGAAGCCCTCTTTCAGAAGTGGGACTGTGATTGCTCAGGTTTCCTGGATCTGAAGGAAGTTGATAAACTATTGTACACATATAAGGAGGGAATGGAAAAAGAATCTATGAAGAAAGGTAAAATAAAAGAATAATCTTCTTTTTCTAATTTTTAAAAAAATTCTTCCATGAGCTAGAGATACAGAGAAAGAGAGGACCAATGGGTCCATAGCCAAGATCCACCCCTAACCTTCAACAAGCCTGGGATCCTGGAGAAGCATGTGCCCAGTGTGCTTAGGGAGGTCTCTGACCTTGAACTGGGAACTTTCTCATGTTGGATTGCCTCACGGAGCATTGTGTTTTGCTGCTGCATCACAATCTGGCCTCTGAGAATGTTCTTATTTAAGTTGTGCTAATAACTCGCACTCAAGTTTTCTAGTTCTTTTATATATTTTCAGTTAAAATATTGGTTATTCTGGCCTTTTGGCTGGAACCGCCATCTTCCAGTAATTAACCAAAATGACGAGCACAAAGGGAAAGCGGAGAGGGCACCCGATATATGCTCTCTAGGCCTTTTAGAAAACAGTTGTTGCTTTGGCGATATATATGTGAATCTACAAGAAAGGTGATATTGTAAACATTAAGGGAATGGGTATTGTTCAAAAAAGAATGCCCCACAAATGTTACCATGGCAAAACTGGAAGAGTCTACAATGTTACCCAGCATGCTGTTGGCATTGTTGTGAACAAACAAAGTAAGGGCAAGATTCTTGCCAAGGGAATCAATGTGTTTATTGAGCATATTAAACATTCTAAGAGCAGAGATAGCTTCCTAAAACGTGTGAAGGAAAATGACCAGAAAAAGAAGCCAAAGAGAATGGTATCTGGCTTCAACTAAAGCACCAGCCTGCTCCACCCAGAGAAGCACACTTTGTGAGAACCAATGGAAAGGAGCCTGAGCTATTGGAACCTATTCCCTATGAATTCATGGCATGATGGCTGTTAAAAATAAACTAATCTGTGGTCTATAAAAAAAAATTGGTTATTCTGTTAATATAAGTGTGAGATACCACTTCATATATAATGTGACTACAAGTTTAAAATAGGAAAATAACAAGTGTTGGCAAGATGTAGAGAAATTGTGGGACCAGCAGATGGCATAATTGTTAAGTTACTGGACTCCCACATAGTCAACTGTGGTTTGAGTCCTGGACCCAGCAACAGCTTAACCCTCACACCTGGGGTGTGTGTGCATGTGTGTGTGTGTGTGTGTGTGTGTGTGTGTACTTGGCTAAAATCCCAGGGGGAGAATGGAGGAGAAGTGATTGCTGCATGACCATCCCTCCTTGGGGGGGGGGGGGGGGGGTGATTTCTTGCTTTCTGTCTTTTCTGTCTCTCTGGTGAGCGCACACATGCTATAGTGAAAATCACTCTCTTTGAAAAAAAAATGTAGAGAAATTGAAACCTGTGCATATTTGTCAGCATAGTCAGGAGTGGAATATATTGCAGAGGGCTTTGTCCAAGACCTTCACTCTAAATAGTTAGATTCTCTCTCTATGGACCTGGCTACCTTCTTGAGGTTCCAAGAACGCAAATTACTCCACAGTTCTGTTTTTAATTCTTGTCTTATCTTTTTGCCATCACACAGTCTGATTAACCTCTCAAGTCTAACAGGCTTGTAAGTTTCTCTTCAATTTACTAAACTCATTATTTTTAGTGACTTTTTCTACCCCTATGTTATTTTTCTTTACCAATTAATACTTCCCAATCAAAAGCTACTAAAACTCTCATTTTGGTATAATAAATTATTTTATTAGCTCCCAGTTTAAGGGATTTTACTTATTGTTAGTTTAAGGATTTATCTGGTGACTTTAATATATTAGATTTTCAATTTTTAAAGTATATGGTGCATAAAAGAAAGACTTGTCGGTGTTAAGTTTTTCAGCCCTTTCAAAAATCATTGTATTGGGGAAACCAGCAGTTAGCGTAATAGCTATATCACTGGATTCCCACGTAGTCGACCACGGTTCACGTCCTGAACCCGGTGGCTTAGAACTCACGCCGGGCACATGTGCGTGCGTGCCCAAGATCCCGAGAGGAAAATGGAGGAGAAGGGATTGAAGCGTGGCCATCCCCCATTGTGTTTTCTCACTTTCTATCTCTATGTCTCTCTCTGTCTGTCTGGCGAGTGCATGCACCCTATAGCGAAGACCTCTCCAAAAAAAAAAAAAAAAAAATCATTGTATTGGGACCAGCAATTAGCGTAGTTAGTGTAATAGCTATGTCGCTGGACTCCCACATAGTTGACCACGGTTCGAGTCCCGGACCTGGCGGCTTAGACTTAGGCCAGGTGTGTGCACGTGCGTGCCCAAGATCCCGAGAGGAGAATGGAGGAGAAGGGATTGTGGCATGGCCATCCCCCTTGGGGAACGGTTTCTTGCTTTCTATCTCTCTGTCTCTCTCTGTCTTTCTGGCGAGTGTGCATGGCCTATAACAAAAACCTCTCCAAAAGAAAAAAACATCATTGTATTGACTGATGTTCAAATGTACCTAAGTTATCACTTGTCGTATTCTTCAGTAAGTTGTCTTCATACATTATACTACACTGCTTACCTTAAACTTCATCCAAAGACAATTCATTTAATGAAATTGCAAAAGGCATAACGAGGTTGTTTCTATATAAGAGAGGCATGTTTCATAATTCATAAATATATTCTACAAAGAACACTAGACAATACTCAGGATAGTTCGTCCAATACTGGATCTTCACTAAGTGGCCATGTGACCTTTGACAAGTTACTTAACCTTCGTGGACCCAGGTGTCCTTGTTTGTAAAATGAAGGCATTAGACATGATGAAGTCCAGAAATTAAGGATACTGTTATAAGGAAGTTCTACATGTTGGGGTATATGAAGTCTAATTATATGGAATTATATAGAATCCTGTATGAGTGCAGTACAGCAATAGGGATAGGTAAAAAACATAAAATGTAAAGGGCCAAGGGCAGCGAGCGAGAATGAGAAAAGCAGTGAGGAGCCAGAATGTGCTGCCAGATGAACATGTAAGCAGAGCACATCATCCTCTCCAAGGGCAGGCTTACACAAAATGACTCTCCATGAACAGATTGGTAGCCACTTTGTCTGAGATGATTGCTTAGCTTAGCAGATGCAATAAAGACGAAAAATAGATTTAGCCTCTTTTACAAGAGAAAGAAAATCGTGAATTTGAGCTCTTAGCTAATAACTAATTGGCAAGGCTTCAAATAGCTTTTTTGTTTGTCTGTTTATTGTTTTGCTCTACAGTGCTTATCTCTTCTGTGTCCAAGATTTTTAAAAATGGAGATTTAATTAGCGTAAAGTCACAAGCTTAGAAGTTTCTAGAAATGTTTCTGCTGGTGTACTTAAAATGGAAGTTTTCTGTATGGAAGAGGAAACTTGAAACTTCTGGCTAGTCATTTTCTCTTTTTATTCCTAATAAAAAAAAATACAGCCTAATCTTTTAGGCAGAAGTATCACAAAGAAAAAGCTGTAGTATATGTGACCTGTCTACACTATAGAATTTTATTTATTTTTTCTTCAATGAGCGAGAGTCAAAGAGAGACAGAGAGACAACACCCCTAAAAGGGTCATGATGCTGTGATCTCCCCCACCCTCAGCCTTCAGCCAGCCCTAAATCATGGCAGACATATGCCTGGCAAAGTCAGGAAGGCTCCCAGATATGAACCAAGGATCTTTCCATGTAGGATTGCATCACAGAACATTACACTTTATTCCTATGCCACCGTTTCACTCCCACATGGTAGAATTTAATGGAACAAATCACTCTTCCCCTTTTACCTCTCATGGAGTAGATATTAACATTTACAGTGTGTTTACCTTTTGTTTTTCTATTTAAATGATTAGATTATCTTTTTAAAAAATAATTATTTTATTTGCTATTATTATTATTATTTTGTTTTTAAATTTGACCAGAGAGAGAAAGGGAAAGCAAGAAAGCAAACTACCAGGTCCAGGACTCAAACCATGGTTGGCCATGTGAGAATCCAATAAAAAAAAATACAGCCTAATCTTTTAGGCAGAAGTATCACAAAGAAAAAGCTGTAGTATATGTGACCTGTCTACACTATAGAATTTTATTTATTTTTTCTTCAATGAGCGAGAGTCAAAGAGAGACAGAGAGACAACACCCCTAAAAGGGTCATGATGCTGTGATCTCCCCCACCCTCAGCCTTCAGCCAGCCCTAAATCATGGCAGACATATGCCTGGCAAAGTCAGGAAGGCTCCCAGATATGAACCAAGGATCTTTCCATGTAGGATTGCATCACAGAACATTACACTTTATTCCTATGCCACCGTTTCACTCCCACATGGTAGAATTTAATGGAACAAATCACTCTTCCCCTTTTACCTCTCATGGAGTAGATATTAACATTTACAGTGTGTTTACCTTTTGTTTTTCTATTTAAATGATTAGATTATCTTTTTAAAAAATAATTATTTTATTTGCTATTATTATTATTATTTTGTTTTTAAATTTGACCAGAGAGAGAAAGGGAAAGCAAGAAAGCAAACTACCAGGTCCAGGACTCAAACCATGGTTGGCCATGTGAGAATCCAGCACCCTCACCACTGTGCCACCTGCTGGCCCCAAAATGATTAGATTAGCTTTAATATATAAATTTCTATTTAAGTAAGTAGGACATTTAACTCTTTTTTAAAGAATTATTTATTGAATTTTATTTATCATCATCATTATTAAAATTGTCTATAGGGCACATGTGCTCACCAGAGAGAGAGAAAGAGAGAGAGAGAGAGAGAGAGAATGAGAATTCAAGCTGCTAGGTTCAAGACTCAAACTGTGATTGGCCATATGGGAGTCCAGCACCCCAACCATCACACCATCTGCTGGCCCCTTTAACTCTCTTAAAGTTAGCATATTTTGGCAATGCATTCTGTCACCAAATCCTAGGAATCTTGAATATCAAGAACCATATCTATTTAAAAGTCTCATTGAAAAGCACACAAAGTGTTTTTCAAAGAAACTGAAAAATGATCAAATGATAGTGTAAAACTACTGCTATTCCTTTGCTCTGGAACTCTAGGATAAGAAACTCCTCAGTCTTTGCTTGGTTTCCATGA